AAATATATAAAAAGAAATGTTAAGATGTACATATATAATATACATTTTCACAAAACCATTTTATCTATCCCTGCACTGAAAATAATAATAGGCCTGTGTTTAGTTTGAGTGACAACTTGTTGATGTGAGGAAAGTTATGCAATAGATCCATACCTCCAGTGGACAAAACAATAGTAACAATTTCTAGTACATGGTATTTACTGTGCATACTATCCACATTAAATAGAATGTGTGACACTGTACTATATATTAAAAGCCAATGTAAATAAATGAATGAATGAATGTCTTAAGCTATGAATACAAAGCTGTCAGGTCTGTAGCAATTTGAAAACAAACTGGAAGCCAGTGAGGACAGGCCAGAGCTAGGCTATATGGTCTAATTTACTTATACTTATGATGAAATGAGCTTATACATTCGGACTTAACAGTCGTGGTAAGTTCTGTGTCGTAGAATGGGGTGTGATCGCAAACTCTTCTGCAGATCTGCAATCTGACTGCTCATGAGAACTGCATGTAACAGCACAGTGTAAGCTTGATACATGCATTCAGTAGGGAACATGCACTAGCTATTCCACTTCTACTGTTTATTCAGTATACATACAAGACATGTAATAATTTCACTTTAGGTCTCTGGGTGTTTACTGGCCCTTAGTAAACATATTGCCAATAATTTTTCCAACAATCCCTTAGAGGTAAACAGCTCCAATGACAGGGTGGCAATCCAAACGATCTCAAATATATCCAATAGGCTTCACAGGTTTGACAGGAATGATGGCTAGCTGTAGTCTGGAGGTCTGTATATAACTGCACTTGCTGGGACTTCAACCTTCAAAGCTATGAACTCAAGGTCAGTTACATTATAGATGTACAGTTTTTCATACATTTGAATGTGGTTTCTGACATAGGCAGCAACAGCACACCACTTCTATTGGCCATTTGTGAATAAGACAATCTTCAAGGACATTCATGCTTCTCTTCAGATGTTTTCTAAACTTCATACTTTTTAAATATTTAGCTTTATTTTGAAAATCTTGCCCCATTGAAATGAATAGGAAAATTCTACTTCAGCATACTTTCAGCTATTTCAGGTATCAAAATATTCAGCTCTTCAAAGACATTCATGCTTCTATTAGAATTTCTTTAAACTTCATACTTTTGAAATATTTAGCTTTATTTTGAAAGTTTTGCCCCATTCAAATGAATGGGGAAATTCTATTTCATTATATTTTCAGGGGTATTTTAGGTATCAAAATATTCAGCTCCTCAAGGACATTCATGCTTTCAGAATTTCTTTAAACTTCATACTTTTGAAATATTTAGCTTTATTTTGAAAGTTTTGCCCCATTCAAATGAATGGAAATATTCTACTTCAGCATACTTTCAGGTATTTGAGGTATCAAAATGTTTAGCTCTTCAACGACATTCCTACTTGTATTTATTGCATCTCATCCTTCAGATTATTCAACAAAGAACTTCAGCCATTTCTTCTCAACTATTTTAACAAAGAAATTCAGCAATTTCTACTCATCCTTCAGTTGTTTCAGCAATTGATTTAAGGCATTTTCAGGGCAATCCTTCAGCATCACAGCATCCACACGCATTTGACAGGAAATGCATTTCTCTAGTTTAAACTGAGATTAAAGAACAGTTGTGCAGCCACAAATTCCACAAGACAGCCACAGACAAAATGCACAAACATGTTTTCACTTTCAATTTTCTACTTTTTTATTTTCATATTTGATTTTGATCAAACCTAGTTTTCCGTGGTATATGACAAGGTTTTGTGCCATTTCATTTGGGTTTCCTTAGACTACTGAAAGCCTGCTCCATTTCAGAATACTGTTAAATCAGAAGAGACCTTTTTTTAATAAATTATTACAGAGCTGCCATGTAGGTAAAAAAAAAAAAAGGTTAGCCGCTGCTTTTAGACTCTCATAATGTCTGTAATAACATTTGTGATTCTCATTATCCAGATATCTTGGAGGCTGTGACTTGCTTTTTACTGTCACAGTATTCGAAAATACCAAAAGGTAATGGATATATTAATTATTCAAGTGATAACTTTCTCAGTAAATGTCAAGTCAAAGAGAAGTTAAACTTTTCACAAAATGTTTCATTGACATTGAAAAATATATTGAAAATAATTTGGATTATAATATTCAAAGGGATTTTATGATTTAATGAAGATATAAGATTTTGCCAATTGGAAAGAAGAACGAGCAGACTGCTGCCACTTGTTGTTGGTTAATCTACCAACAGGCATTTTCAGTGGAAGCTATAGGGTGAAGTAGCAAACACACAACACTGATGTCGCCTTGAGATGTTTAAAAAGAAAAATCAGATTCACATGTAGGAAAACAGATGTCCAATAGGTATTCATATCCACATCTCTGTAACATCCCAGACCAGACCAGACTGGCTTTGACTCTTCAAGATGAAATAAGACACACATTCCCTTCAAACCACACATAAATATTAAATCCATGAACAAAGACAAAGCAGTACTTGTGCACAGCGCTCCAAAGTGCAGAAAGCTCCTGGGGATCCCTTACCTTTTCAGTGTTGGTCTTTCCTTAAACCTTTGGTTTGAAGGCCACCGTGGGCTCCCTGGTGCACGCTGAATAAAGGAAGATCACTCACTCTGTCATCTAGATTCACCTTGCAAGACACCTGCAGGAAGACAGGAGAATTAACCGACTGTGGGTGTGCTGCTGTGTTTGTGTTTTTCCTACACAAGCCAAAGATAAAAATCTAGTCAGCTCCTACATTTAGCTACTATTTGAGGAAAGCTAAATTTTATACCTTCTTGAGACAGCAAGCCCTTTTGCCAGATGCTTGCAAATCAGATAGGTTGCATCCCCATACTTTGTGTCTCTCCTGTTGGTCCCATCATTTATCTTCAAGTTGCTTATATGCAGTGGCTAAAGGGCAGTAGCCCAGGTGTTTTTTCCCCAAGCATCATCCTCCAGCTCTTTGGAAAAAGGAGACTAAGGAAACAGAGAAATTTCAAATTAAAAGACCTTCGGCTGCTGTTGCTGTGACTTTCATTGTTCATTAACCTTGACCAAGAGCCAGAGCTGGCCACCTCCAGCACATAAGGGTATCCGCTGAATGTCGGGCTAAGAGGGGATTTACACGTGCACACAGGGTCACACAGAGGCTCAGTCTGATAATATACAACACATGCATGTGTTATTATTTACCACACCTTTTATGTACAGTTGTGTTATGGTGGTTGCCTTTTCTAGTATTTATTATATTTGTTTTCATTTCTTGCAAATTCTTTCTGCAGTGGCATTAAAGTGAGGTTGGGTACTGGCTTCAAAGTGCCCACAGGTCAGAGTGTGAGTGTCTGCCTGTGTTAGTGTTGTGATAGACTGGCAACCTGCCAGACAGGTATCGCTGCCTTCTGTGCACTTCATGCTAGGATGGGTTCCAGTCCCTGATGCCCATGAGAGGGAATGAAGGCAGTTTAAAGACAGCAAATGGATGTTTTTACCTCCGCCAAGGCAGAGGTAATGTTTTTACTGCAGTCTCCCACCATGAGGAACACCAGCTATTTGGCTTTTGTTAAATCTCACCAAAAACAAATAATTAAAACATATTTGTATGAAATAAATATTTTACCTGTGCTTTTTTGAATATGGTATTTAGCTCCACTCCTCGTACAGATATACAGTAGCTTGATAGATGTACTGTTACTATTGTACATTCTTAAAAAGGCCTCCCCTCCATTTTCCCAGTGTTTATTCAGAATCAGAATCAGAATCAGCTTTATTGACCAGGTGTGTCAGACACATGAGGAATTTGACTCTGGTACATCGGCTCTCAATGTGTATGTACATTTCAACAAGCAAAGGAATGTGGACTAGAAAAAGAGATTTAAAAAAAAAAGCGTAAAGTACTTATAAATAGAGACCTGTACACATATATATATATATACGGCGCAGGAAGTACATCCTCTGCTGTGCCTTCTTGATGATGATCCTGATGTTTGGACGTCCATTTCAGGTCTGGAAAGATAGTGGAGCCCAGGAACTTGTAGGACTCTATTGCTGATAGTGTTTCCAAGTATGGTAAGGTGGGGGGCTCTTCCTGAATTCCACTGTCATCTCCACTGTTTTGAGCATGTTCAGCTCCAGGTTGTTGCGGCTGCACCACAAGACCAGCTGTTCAATCTCCCATCTGTAGGCTGACTCGTTGCCGTCTCAGATGAGACCAATGACCGTTGTATCATCAGCAAACTTTAGGAACTTCACAGAGGGGTCCTTCCAGATGTAGTCGTTGGTGTTTAGTGAAAACAGCAGAGGGGAGAACACACATCCCTGGGGAGCACCTGTGCTTATTGTGTGGGTGCTGGATGTGGTTTTCCCCAGCCTCACCTTTTGCTTCCTGTCAGACAGCTAGTAATCCACTGACAGGTGGGGGCAGGCACAGTGAGCTGGGTCAGTTTGGAGTGGAGGATGTCTGGGATGATGGTGTTGAATGCTGAGCTGAAGTTCACAAAGAGGGCCCATGCATAGCTCCCTGGGGAATCGAGGTGTTGCAGGATGTAATGCAGTGCCATGTTCACTGCATTGTTCACTGAACTATTTGCCTGGTAGGCGAACTGCAGGGGGTCCAGCAGTGGGTCTATGGTGTCCTTCAGGTGGGCCAACACCAGTCTTTCAAAAGACTTCATAACTACAGATGCCAGGTCAACAGATCTGTAGTCATTCAGCCCACTGATGGAGGTTTTCTTGGGGACTGGGATGATGGTGGAGCATTTGAAGCAGGAGGGGTCTTCAAGGGTACACTTTGATCTTCAACAGCTCCAGTGACCTGTTGAAGATCGAAGTGAGGATGGGGGCCAGCTGATCAGCACACACTATCAGGCAGGAGGGGGTCACTCCAACTGGGCCTGGCGCCTTTGTGATCCTTTGTTTTTTAAAGAGGCCACGCACATCCTTTTGACAGATCATTAGAGGTGGGGGGCTGGAGAAAAGGGTGGTGATTGTCAGGGGAGCAGCTAGTGCAAAAAAATAGCAGAGGGGAGAGCACACATCCCTGGGGGCTACCTGTGCTGATTTTCCGGGTGCTGGATGTGGTTTGCCCCAGCATCACACGCTGCTTC